GTGAGAGGCATGGTTGTGGAGGTGTTCTCGTTTTTCACTTTTCAAATTGTGTGGTTGCTCTGCTCTGTGTAAATGGCTTGTGTTCAGTTTGTGGCTATTTGTTCTTTGTTGCCATGTTGAGGGGTGGGTGTGTACAGAATTACAGAATGGTAATTGTTCTGGAGACTAATGTTCAGGAATAAATGGATGTAGATATGCTCTTTATAGTCTGGTCTCTTTGTGCTTATGATTTCAAGATGAGCATCATTGTATACCCTTTTAAAGGGGAAAAAAAAGCCAAATTTGTCAGTAAAAATAGTTTTGTAAATCCCATAAATATAACATTCAGTAATGATAGGCATATTTTGTGGCATTTTGGTATTTTTACCCCCCTGACATTGATTCTTCTGAATATGTGTGTGCGCCAAGAGAAAGGTACCAAAAGTCGCCCCAGACTGTTTCGAGCTACAGGCTGATAATGACAAAAATCTGTTTTTAGACCAAATTTCAAAATGTGCTTCCATAAAAAAATATAGATCCAACATTTTTTTTACAATGTGCTCAACAGGTTTTCATTGATTTGACGACTAAGTGTTTTATTTAGAGGGAAGGATATAATAAAAACATATAATGAAAACTGCTTTTAAAGTGTTAAAATGTATTGTTGAAGCACATTTTCTCTTCCCTGGTATGTTTTACTATTGAATTCCGTTCATGATATCGATGTCAACTGAATGCCAAATTTTTTAATGAATTTTCCATGAATAGATTTCTAAATACATTTTTTTTAAAAATTTTTTTAAAGTTTGTATTTGTCTCACGTTTGTTTAACTTAAAAGCTCATTTTCTCAAAATTATATTTATATACCCTACCTCGGAAAATGTGAAATATCGCAAAAACTACTTGAGATGTTTAAAAAATTCAAAAACCCCTATGTTCAACATTGAATTTCCTATAAGGTACAGCCCTTAACTCAAAATGGTCAAAATCCGACTCTTGGTACCTTTCTTTAGGCACACACACATATTTTCCACCTCAACCTGGTGCAAGAAGGTTGTTTAATGTCACAATGTTTCTATCAATAAGGGGGATGTTCAGCTGTGTATTTGGCAGCATTTGTTTCAGTTCCAACCTTGTTTTTATCACTTCCGGTACACTGTTTTTCTCATTGTTGATGGATTCTGTGTACTGGTACCGGTACACTGTTTTTCTCATTGTTGATGGATTCTGTGTACTGGTATTTTCATTTGGAAATGTGATTTGATGTCATTCATTACACAATAAATTCTCTCACATCAGTTCAAATAAGTCTTCATTATGTTTTAACAAGTTTACTGCGGTTTTTGACAGATTAAAGTTTTGTTTAATAACAGTGTGTCATCACACAATGAAATCATCAGGCACTTGTCAATTTTTTAGGTATGGAGATATTGGTCTTATCTTAAAGATTTTCATTTGTCTTTCTTTTTGTTTTGAAGAAATACTGGTCTGTCTTGAATAGAAGTCGAGATGTGGGTGGTTTGCTGGTGCTCTGGTGTGGTTTGCTTCTTCTTTCCTATCAAACATCTATCGTCCTTATCTCCCCTTCTTCTTTTTTATGTTTGTTACTCTCTTGTAACTCCTCTAATCTTCTGGCGCTCATATAATATAACCTTATGCAGTCGCGAGTGCTGTAAAACCTCTACTAAAACTATAAGAAGTTGAGATATTTGCAATTTGAGTTGCAGGTTACCTGATATCAAAGCTAAAATTAGCTAGAAAATGGCTGACTGCCGAAGTTTGGTTACTCTAACTGAGCTAGAATGTCTTGGGAGACTGCACATTTATATTTTGGTGCCTTCTATCATCCCCCCCCCCCCCCCCCCCAAGTAAAATGTAATTTTAAATTAACTTTATTTTGGTGTTGCATAGACAAAAAGAAAAAAAAATTCCTCGGTTTCATGATTTTGATGAGCGCCTGATTTCATAATGAATAACGATACTACACGTAGATTATATTTTAATTCTTTTGTAACATAGGACACTTGAATACAGTAGTCATAACGGCTGGGTGACGTGGAAAGATCAGGGTAATGTAGGCCAGCTTTTTGTAGAAGACCCGAGCAGTGGAATAATTGGGAACCATCTTCATCTTTGCATTCCCCTGCTAGATCTCAGGGATAGTAAGTTGACTGCTGATTCTTCAACCACCAGAGCAACTGAGTTTTACGCATGTGATTGTTTTTCCTTCTTAGTAGGGCCTCTTGCTTTCAGGCAGCCACATTCCAATTTCGAAGATGCTCTTGCACACATGACCTCTGAGATTTTTCATGTTTATCTGAAAAGGCTGTGTGATAGATCTTGCCTACCCTAAGATCAGGGGTGTGGATGAAAGACAGGAGTAGCAGTAGGAAGAGTCAAGAGTAAAGGAGAGAGATTAGGCCGAAAGAGGGGGGAGTGGAGATGAACGCAGAATGTCAGAACATGATTAGAGAACATGGAGGAAAGCGAAATTTTAGAGAACAAAATTTGTCCGTTGCTGTCAGGTTTCAAACCCGGGACCAATTCAATGAGAGGCAAACACTGTTCCTCTAGGCCACGAGAGGCCCCTGTGGAGAACCATGATCACTCATGTGTGTCGCAGATCTGACTCAATGAAAATTACATATGTTTCCACTGGTGTCTGTGGTGTACAGGTTAGGTGCTTTGCTGTCGCAAACAGGAGACACAAATTCACTTCCTGGGGGGGGGGGGAGAAAATTTTTATTGAGCATCTCAGCCTTTCTTCCATGATGTAGTTTCCGTCTCTGCTTGGGTTGGCCCTGACAGGCTGGGTGGAAAGCTCACCTCCTAATTGGTAATTGATCTAAATTGTGTTGTTGGGGGCATAAAAAAACACCTACATTAAAAATAAAATATTACACTTTCTTAGTATTACGCCTGTTTCCAGAGAAGGTAGACAACTGACGAACCCAGGAAAGGTTATATTAAGTGCATGCACTTGCAAAGAACATCGATTTTAAAAAAAAAATCTTACTATAACATCTTTAAAGAAAGTTTTTAAAGTTAAAGAGTAAATTTGGACTAGAACCTTGTTTGATAGCTTAGAAGTCTAATCTAACACAAGTGAAAGAAAGGGATGCTGACTTCAGTTTCAGGCTAGCGTGCTGAGGGAAGAGAAGAAGTGTCGTGGGCATTTGTATTTTCTGGACTACAGAGTCGATGGCCCTGGTTCAAAATCCTATCGAGGTGTTATGAACTTTGCTTTTTTAGTTTAGGGGATTTTCTTAGTGCTTCTCTACCCATTTGGATCAGTCAATGATGAAAGTCAAATTCAGAGGCCCAGCTTCTTGGATAATTCAAGTCAACTTAAGTTTAATGAGTGTTGAAAGGAGTGTTAAATCTACAATTTCGCACATTTCAGGGTACTGGATACATCAAACAACCAAAAAACCGCGCCTATTAGAAGTGTAATTGTGAAATTTTATTGTTAAGCCGTGTTTGTCCAAGAAAACATGCACATGTGAATGTTGTTATTAAAACAAAAGACAGTAATAGTAATACATGTATTCTAATGTAATGCTTTCACTACAAATGTGAATGCTGAGACGAAGTACAAGATTCAAAATCTGTTCTTTTATGTCAAGCCTGCGTTGAGGTAGATTTTTCCACCCTTATACACATGTAGTACGGGTACAGGGAAAGGGAAGGAACAATATTGTGTTAAATAAATAAGTATGTATCACAGACATGGTTTGAGGAGGGGAAAACGGGGAGGGGGGGTTCAAAGATTTTTAAAAACAGTTATTCAATATAAGTAGTCTTTCGCCAGAGGTAAGCTGAGTAACAATAACTTATATGATCCGGTTACACGCAACGATAAATTGTGTTAGGTTTGTCGTATGCGAGAACTGCCCCGTTTTATCGAGCTGTGTAGTCTTGTTTAGACGGTCCAATCTATCGTCCAGTTTTCTTTCGATCAGGGAGATTCCTAGTCATTGACTTGACTGCAGATGTACAACGTACCGGATGACCATGATACATGTACATAACCTCTCCATTTACGATCAACTAAATAATAAAATTGCTAAAATTACACATAATAAGGCATCAAATCAGGTTCCCCATAACAAACTTTGCTTATTTTGAGACGTTGATTCCGAATATGAAATCAGTTTCTACCTGCGATAATTATTTTTAAAATTTTGAGCCCTAAGTTTAATCCAGCACGGCGGCAAATTTCAAAGTGAATCTACGTCACAGCGCGTCTCCCTCAAATCTGACCGTGATCGCGCGAAAAATATCAAGCAGCACTTGATTCCTCGACCGAGTCTCCAAACCATCGTCCAATCGTCCAAATTTTTAAAAATAATTTTGTGATTACACCGAACGATTTATCGTATGATCGCTAGATTCTAGATCGTCCAGTTTTTGTACAATTTATCGTTACGTGTAACCGGGCTTTAGGGACAACTCGATAACTCGACACTACTAACATCAGATTGTGTCAGATGAATCAATAATATGGTAACGCTATTTTTCCTCCACCTCCTCTCCTTTTCCTCCTCCTCTCCTCCTCCTCATCCTCCTCTTCCACAGGGATCATGTCTGTGTCTGCTTTTTGTTGCATTCTTTAGCCCACTCATCAGCGCAAGCGTGTCCTGTGCTACTTGTGCGTTCAGTCGCCATCGAGTTCCGCTAGTTGCTTTTTCCGGAAGAATTTGACAATAACCATATGCCTGGGAAGCAAACCGACATATATTTTAAAGAATATGCACATGATATATGTTATAAATACATACCGGTATTCAGGTTAAAACAAATTGCAGCAATCTGCAGATAGGTCCAGAAAGGTTGAACACGAGTTGGATAAGAAATAGAGAGGATAGTTGCAGGCCTGCATATAATATATATATATATATATATATATATATATATATATATATATATATATATATATATATATATATATATATGTATATATATATAATTATGTATATATATAATTATATATATATTATATATATAAAATTGTTAAGTTTAATCATTTAACTATGACTAATTCTGTTGGTGCTCATCATTTTTTGAGATAATAATGATGAAGATAAGGTATTGTCCCTTTCACAAAGTGTTCATTGCGTGCGGCCATAACGGTTTCAACTGCTTATTTCAGTATGGAGAAACTTTCATTTACTTTGGAATAGAGTTGGGGGTGGTGGGTGGGGAGGGGATAGGGGCTCAAGCCCGTGAGCCCTGCACTACCCACCGCCACTGCGGGTAATCCCCACCTGCTGCTAGAAGGCGTTGACGGCCCTGGACCTGTGCGGCGTGGCGTTGTCGTCCTAAAGGACAGCAGCAGGCTCAATCTGCTGAGGCGCCTGGACGACCAGAGGTCGAAGGATCCCCAGCAGACACCACTGCCCTGCCAGGATACCGTCGACTTGGTAAAGGGGGGTTCTGTGAAGCTTGCAGATCCCCCCCCCACAAACACACACCATAATGGAACCGCCTTCAAACGGGACCACTTCTTGAACTGCTTTGGCAGCAAGCTGCTCCCGTGGACGCCTCCGAATGCGGGTTCAACCATCACTGGTTGTCAGACAGAACCGGGATTCATCAGTGAACAGGACCTCTGGTGGGCAGTGCACCAAATTTGACGGTTGGCTCTCTGGTTTTGGGTCAGTTTAGGTTTTCTGACTGGACGGCCCACACGAAGGTTGACGTCATGAAGACGATTACATATTGTCTTCGACCTGACTGTGGTGTGTGTGACAGCTCGCAGACGTCGCCTGATGACGCTGCCAGAGCTAGTCCGCTTCTGTATGGCTTGGCGTTGGATGTAGCGGTCCTCTCTTGTTGACGTTTTCTTGGGACGACCCGTGCGACGCCGCTCCTGGACTCTTTGTGTCACCGCGAACCGCTGCCTCAGCCGTATGATGGTGGAATGTGATACCGGGAATCTGCCTGACACTTCGCGTTTGTTCAACTTTTGTTGTGGCGGCATGTGGCTTGGCGCGGAAATACTGTAAAACAGAGCTGAAACGGCGGCTGACGTAGGCAGACAAGTGAGCACAGTTCGTAGCCAGAGGTGCATTCTTCCACGTGTTCTTTTTTGCCATGCAGAGAGTTCCAGGTATCGCCCTCTGACGTTTGAAACACGGTCCAGTTTTGCCGAAATTGCAGGTTTATTATACGCGGCTGCGATTTTTTCTTTATAACTGCCAGGGGATCAAAAATCTATTTTTAAAAAACATCAACCGGGGTAGAAGCGAAAAAAGTATTTAAAAAAAAAGAAACTAAACCTCTTTATTTTTAGAATGAAAGTTTATTTTCACTCCCGCTTCACTTCGTCTCTTTCTCACTTGTTGGCACCACGTTGACTTGTTATTTTCATGTGAAGAATATAAGAACATTAGGGACAGTTCACAAAATAAATAAACTCAGAAGGGGAAAG